TTTGAATGGCCTACCTTCTGATTAAAACCAAACTTGTGGTCCAGTGCTTATCCTACAGCACTGTAAAATGATTGCTGATATACTCTTCAACCTTTTGGTGCTGACTGTCTATCTTTTCCAGGGGATCTGGAGAGTCTCTTTCCCCTCCATTTTGTAGGTCAGCTAGTCATTTTCCTGCATGTGCCTCTCTTGTATTCATTTTACTGCTTTGAATACACCTGGTTCAATAAAGGAATTGAAATGCACCAGTAGTTGTAAAACATAGAAAGGAATTAGTCTTGTTCATGTTAGGTTGAGTCAGTTCCAACACATAACAACACTATGTACAGCAGAACAAAACACTGCCCAGTACTGAACCATCCTTACAAATGCTGCTTTTCTTGAACCCACTGCCACTGTGCCAATACATCTTGTAGGGAGTCTACCTCTTTTTTGCTATGCTGCCACTGTACAAAGCATGATGTCTTTCTCCAGGGAATGATCCCTCCTGATAATATGTCCAAAGTATTCATATGTGGCTATTGTATATGTAGCTATTGAAAATACCATGCAAATGTGGCTATTGAAAATACCACGGCTTGGGTCAGACATACTCTAGACCTCAAACTGACATCTTTGTTCTTGAACACTTTAAGTAGGTCTTGTGCAACAGATTTGCCTAATGCAATATGTGGTTTGATTTATTGACTGCTGCTTTCATGACTGTTGATGGTGGAACCAAGCAAAATGAAGTATTTGACAACGTCAATTCTTTGTGTATTTATCAAGATGTTAATTATTGCTCTAGTGCTGAGGATTTTTGTTTTATTTACATTGAGGTGCAATCCATACTGAAGCTGTGGTCTTTGACCTTCATCAATAAGTATTTGAGTTCTTCTTTACTTTCAGCAAGCAAGGTTGTATCATCTGCATACTGCGGTTTGTTAATAACTCTTCCTCCAATACTGATTCCACAATCTTCTTCATATAATCCAGTTTCTCTGATTATTTTCTCAATATACAGATTGAATAAAAAAGAAAACAACCCTGGAGCACAGCTTTCCTGATTTTAAACCATTTAGTGTCCACTTGTTCTGTTCAAATGACTGCCTCTGGGTCTGTGCATAGGTTCCTTATGAGCACAATAAAGTGAACTGGAATAATCATTCTCTGCAGTTTTAGTAATAGCTTGTCATGATCCACACAGTTGAAAGTCTTTGCATAGTCCATAAAGCATAGGTAAATATCTTTCTGGTATTTTCTAGTTTCAGCCAAGATCCATCTGATGGCAACAATGATACCCCTTGTTTCATGCCCTCATCTGAATCTGACTTGAACCTCTGGCAGTTCCCTTTCAATAAACTATTGCAGCCATTTTTAAATTATCTTTAGAAAAATTTTACTTGCATGTGATAGTAAAGATACTTTCCAATGATTTCTGCATTCCATTGGGTCACCGCTCTTTGGAATGGGAACAAATATGGATCTCTTCCTATCAATTGGCCAGTTAACTACCTTCCAAATTTCTCGGCAGGGATGAGTAAGTGCCTCCAGTGCTGCATCAGTTTGTTGAAAGACAACATTTTGTTCCATTCATTCCCAGAGCCTTGTTCTTTGCCAATGCCTTCAGTGTGCCCTGGACTTCTTTCTTCACTGTGATTGCAGGCTCTTGATCATATGCTACCAATTGAAATGGTTAAACATCAACATTTTCTTTTTAGTACAGTTACTCTTTGCATTCCTTCAATTTTCTTTGGATGTTTTCTGCGTTATTCGCTGTTTGACCCATTGTTGTTTGTTGGTAAATACTGTTGAGTCAGTTCTGACTCATAGCGGCCCTGTAGGGTTTTTGAGAAATGGCTGGTGAGCTTAAACAGTCAACCTTGTGGTTCAAACTGACTTTAGAGTCCAGTGCATTAACTTGCAGTGCCTCATAGATACCTTTCATATTGAAAGCTGTGGCTTGAATTTTTTTTTTTTTTTAGTTATTTTTACTTGAGAAATGTTGAGTGTGTTCTTCACTTCAGTTTCTTAACTCCAGATCTTTGCACATTTCATTATAATATTTGACTTTGTCTTCTTGAGCTGCCCTTTGAAATGTTCTGTGTAGCTCATTTACCTCCTCATTTCTTCCATTTGCTTTAGATCTCTATGCTGGCTAGCTAGTCTCAGAGTCTCTTCTGACATCCTCTTTTGTGTTTTATTTCTTCCTTGAATTCTTAATGACCTTTTGCTTTCTTCCTGTATGATGTTCTTCATGTTATCCATCAAGTATTCTGGTCCTCATTAATGTTTAATGCATCAAATCTGTTCTTGAGATGATCTCTAAATTCAGGTGGGATATGTTCAAGGTCATATTTTGGCTCTTGTGGACTTGTTTTAATTATCTTCAGCCTCAGTCTGAACTGACATATGAACATTTCCATATTCTGTCCTTGGCCTTGTTTTGGCTGATGATATGGAAGTTTTCAACTTTCTTTTTTCACAGATGTAGTCAATTTGATTTCTGTGTAGTCCATCTGCTGAGGTCCATGTGTATAATCTTCTTTTATGTTGTTTAAAAAAGTTGTTTGCAGAGAAGTCATTGATCTTGTGCAATTCTATCATGCGATCTCTAGTATCATTTCCAATACTGAGGCCCAATTTTCGAACTTATTATCCTCCTCTGTTTCCATCTTCTACATTCCAGTCACCAGTAATAATCAGTACTTCTTGTTAGCGTGTTCAATCAATTTCTGACTGAAAATGGTAGAATTCTTCAATTTCATCTCTGGCCTTTGTGGTTGGTGCATAAATTTGAATAATAGTGTTATTATCTAGTCTTCCTTAGATAGCATACTATCACAGACAGTTTATAATTGAAGATATATCTTGAAATGTTCTTTTTGTTGATTAATGCAATGCCATGCAACTTAATTTGTCATTCCCAGCATAGTAAACCATGTGATTGTTAGATTCAAAATGGCAAATATTAGTTCATTTCAGTTCACAAATGCCTATGACATCAATTTTTATGCATTCCATTTTTGACAAATTACAGTATTCCTAGATTCATACTTCATACATTCCATGTTATAATTATTTGTGGATGTTTACAGCTGTTTCTCCTCATTTTTAGTTGTGCCCCATTAGAAAATGGAGGTCTTGAAAGCTTTATTCCATTCACGTTATCTCAGTCAATTGTGCTTTGAGGATTTAGCTCTTTCCCAATCTTATTTTTAATGTCTTCCAAACTGAGGGGCTCATCATCTCACACTATAGCTGACACTCTTCTTGTGCTATTTATCATGTTTAAATATAAATATTCTGGTGCTATCTGACATTGTTTCACTATTATTCACAAAATTTTCAGTTACTAAGCATGTAAAAGTGGTTTGCCTCTCCTTCTTCCAAGTCTATTTTAGTCTGGAAGCTCAGCCGAAACCAGTCCACCATGTGTGACCTTGCTTGTATTTAAAAGCCCAGTGGCATAGCTTTTAGCATGATAGCAATATGCAAGCTACCACAGTGTGACAAACTGACATATGAGTGGTGGTGCCTTTGACTTTCATCGCAGCAATGCAATCCTCATACATCATCAGTGACTACCTCTTCTCTATAATCTTTCCTTTAGTCATTATCAGAGCTCCAATGAAGCAAAGTTCCATCATGATGTGGACCCTTTTCAGTTGTACCTCTTAACCTTGGTGATCTTCTGAAGCATCAAAGTCATCCGTAAGATGATCTGTCTACAGTGGAATTCTTTGAAGAACTTCTTTCAACACATTCATTTCCTGCCAGAATAAATAAAGACTGCTGAAGGCCATTGACTCCACCTGCTTCCATAGGGGACAGGTGGAGTTGGGAGGAGGCTGTGGCAACGTTTTCCCTGTTTACTTCCCCCTGCCCAGAGGAGATAGGCCCTTTACATAACTCCTCCTCTAAAGAACTGGAACTTTTTCTCTGACATCATTAGGCAGAATCGTCCCATTACTGGTATCTGTATTTTTAACACCATGAGTCAGAAAAGATCACAGATTTTTCTGTAGCTATTTTCTAGCATTTGTAGGAAGCTGTGCATGGACAGATTTGAATATTTATTTTCCTTCCTTTCCTATTTAGCCTCCATACTTCCCATTCTGCATTCCACCCATGGAGAATGGATTTTATAATTCTACCTGTTATTTGTGGATTTTTTTTTTTTTTTTTTTTTGTATTTCTGTAAATTATTTTGTTTGGAAGGTGAAGAATTATCTCAGTTGCTTCTGGTCTCTCCCAAGTCAACATTGTCTTGTTTTGTTTTTTGTTTTTTTTCCTGTATTTCAATATAAGTTTTGGTGTCTCTTGTTCTACTGGAAAAAAGATGAATCTTAAGAGATGAACAGAAAGACAGGCCTTGAAATCTGTTCGGCTTTGAGGAGTAGATTTCTTTCCTCCTCTTGAAAGAAAAAAATGTTTTGTTCAACTGCTACATAAAGCACCCCAACAGTAGGGAGTTACCAATTCTCAACAACTGCCACTGCAACATAGAATGCTCAAATAACCTGAACTTTAAAGCTCGGGAGATATGAAATTTACTGTTGGCCACTGCTGGGATTGTCTGGTGTTCCAAAGAAATACTGGAAGCTGAAAATAGGAAATGAAGAGGTATATTTATTAAACTCATTGATCTCAGTAGGTGGCCCCATTAAAAGATCTTTAATAGTTATTATGTCTGGATTGGATTCTCATTAAGACACTCAGTAGTTTTGCTTCAGTTCTTCCTAGACGACTATCATGTTTTAAGGCTCATCCATGTAGCATGTTCTCGGGAAAGAATAATGGATGAGATGCATACTTTTTGAAGCCAAACAGAAGCAACTTAAGTTTAAAAGAGAGAGTCTAAGAGAAACCAAGTCCTATTTTACTTCTTTTGTGGCTACAAAAATATCTTTTGTAAATTCAAAAGTTTGCAAATTAGTAGCAGATGGAATAGCATTTATGATTTTAAAAAATTGACTTTATTTATTTATTTGATCTCACTCAATTCAGCATTCGTATTGTCAGTGTATTTTTTAAAATCTATTTTTTAGATTAGTCCTGTTTTTTAGTAACTTCTTAAGAATCTAATACTAATATTATGCTTCACCAATAATATGGACCAAACTAACTCTTTTAATTAGTGATATCACAGAGTAAGAGAATCAGGTGATACTTGGTCAAGGCTACTCAACAACTTGATGAAAGAGTAGGAATAAAGACTCAGTCACCTTATATCTTGCCCAGCGTTCTTGAAACCTCATTACTGGCCACTCTTTCATATAATGATAGTAAACTTGCTGTAGTTATGTAACATTGCAAATATTTTCTGCTTATTTCTGGACCTAATTTCATAATTAAAGAGTAAAAGTTAAAATCAACAGATGGGAGAGAAAAACAGAGACAGCCGACTTCAGTAGCATTCCTTGGACAGCTGGAGAACAGATTGTGAGAAATTGGAAAAGATATAAAATTGCCTAAGAAGAAGTCACCAACCAGTTCTGATAAATTGACTATCAAACCACAACCCTATTCAGATTTCTCATTGACCTAAGTCTATATCTTGTCTTTGTGAATGTATCACTAGGGAATTTTAATTTTTTTTAAATAAATTGGCTACAAATCAGAGAATTAGGAAAAAATTCATCTTGACTCAACTTTTCCCTGTGTCTTAGATTTCTTGTTGGCAAATTTCATATCATTTTTTCCTAATATGAAAAGAAGTTCAGTTATTGTTTGAAGAAAACTGAACTCTTGACTTATATACTACATAGTTTATATGTTGTACCTAAATCCTAACTATACTGTTTTAGTGCAAATGGGATTCACATATTACTAGGATTGTTATTAAGTGGCATCAGGTCATTTCTGCTTAGGGTTTCCTAGGAGTGACTGGTGGGTTTTAATAGTCTAGTGCTTATCCTACAATGCCACATCAGTAGTCCTACTGCCATGGAGTCAATTCAAATTTACAGCAATCCTGTATAGGATTTATGAGATTGTAAATCTTTCCCAGAGCAGAAAGCCTCATCTTTCTCCCATGGAGTGGCTGGTGGATTTGAACTGCCAACCTTATTGTTAACATTTCAATACTTATCATATAGTGCCATCAGTGATAGGAAAATAAGTTAAGGCTTTTTAGCAAAAAATAAAAAACAAACAAACAACTACAAAGTTGCAGACTACGAAAGAGAACAAAACAGCCAATTGTTTAACCCTAAAGCACAGTTCCTAATCCTTTCAATTATATTCTTGAGAACTTTTCAATCATTTAACAAGTATTGTAAAATATTTATTAATTAATTGCAAGACACAATTCTAGGTTGATAAATAATCCCCTCCCCCACTTTTTTTTTTTTTTTTAAATCTGGTGCAGAGTCCATTGTTTACTCTACAGTGCCACACCAGGATTCACGATAGATGATTCTTCAAAAGTATAATTGTCAAGGCAGGCATTTCTTTCTTTCTTTCTTTCCTTTTTTTTTTTTAGAACACAATGAATTGCTTTATTTTCGGTATGCATCCACATGTCAGCATTTAGTGGTCCTGAACAGAAAAGTGGAACAACGCAGCAATTTGCCAGGAGGTCAAGCCCACCAATTTCGGGGATCTGCTGAGCACACCGACTTCTTTCTGACTCCCTGCTGAGGATCGTGGGAAGCAGCAGCACCAAAACCAAGTACGCACCGAATTCAAGGTTCTTTATGTTCCAGTTGTCAGACTCCAAACTAGACCCAAATGGATTGCAAGGATGACCAAATGAGAGCCCTGCTTGTTTAAAACTTCTTCCATTTTTAAAAGCAAAGCCATGGCAGGAAAAGAAAACATTCAGAGGGATCATGTGTGCTTACAAGTGTCTTCGTGTGGCCTTTCTCCGAGTTTAACCACCAAGGACTTTGAGAGCTGGCAGGTCTGAGTGACCTTGGTGACTGTTCTTGCTACCACATCAAAACCTGAGCTAAAACAGCGAATCAGCCAATGACGACAGCAGAGGGTGGTGGCAGGGTTGAGGACCCCATGTTCATGTGCCAGGCTGGTGGAGAGTAAATCAATGTGGTTACAGAACGAAACGAGGGAGGTCAGAGACTCATTCCAACCTTACCTGATGGCTTCTGGCCAAAGCAAGGAAGTGTCATGGGGAGTGTAGGGTGGTGGGGTGCAGGGAAGGGCTCTGGGAAGAGGAAGGGAGAAGCAGCACCCCTCAATCGGGTGGGGAGAGAGAAGATAGGGGAGAAAGCCCTGAATTCCTCACCAAAGGCCAATTTCAGAGGAGAGGAGAGGAGAGAGGGTTACAATCTAGGCTTCGGCCAAGGTGGGAGTAGAGAAGAGTGGGGAGGGATGGCTTGGAGTGGGGGGCATCATTTAAGACTTAAGCACCCCACACACCCAGCAGTAGTTTCATAGGCTGCAACCCAAAACCTTCACATCTATTCTAAGAAGCCACCCCAAGCTGGAGGGCTGTTGCAGAGAAAGGGGCAGAGGGCAGGGGGTGGGGCAAGGGGAGAAGGCAGAGACCCCAGGCCGTGTAATCAGCAGCAAGGTGATTGTGTGATGTGTCTTTTCACAGTTGAGTTAGATGTGCCCCACCAGTAATGATGGGAATCAATTTAAATATACTTTCTTGATCCCAGGAGGTCAACTACGTGGACAGTGGTTACACCGGACAGGATGATTTGTTATAGCACAACTTATGTATTTCAAATGGACACAAAATTAGTATCATTTACAGTATCTTAAGATAACTTGCCCTTGAATGGGAGCTTCCTTTCCAGTACTTT